TAGGAACTCGATGGTAAACGCAGGGAGACAATGATTTATACTAGTTCGGCACGCCGGAAAGTCACGGCGCCCTACGTCCAGTCTGGTGTGGATAGTATATTGCGCCCTGCGCTATTTGTTGTGTTGCGAGGTATGTTGTGGTTGTGAGTTCTGTCGGTTATGTGTAGGTCTAGATAGGTCTGCCGATCTAGGGACCCCTGCCCTCCTTTATATAGTCTAGGAGAGGCGGGAGTCCTAGTCGGTTATAAAATAGAGATCCTAGTAGGATTACGTGTACTAGTCCTAGTAGGATTACATGAGGAGAATCCTATTTGGACTAAGTCTTCTTCTCTCTTCACCGTGGGGAACCTTATGGGTCCCGCATCAACACTTATGTGTTAGCTGTTTCATGTTATTCATTCTGATGTTATTATATTACTGTTTACTTGGGCAACCAAAATAGGATGGCTTCAGTCCCTGTTGATGTGCTTGGTGGTTAGGGGGGGTTTGTGGCTGCTACTAATGTACTGAATGGGTTGCTGGGGGTGGTCTAGTTGCTGCTGGTGCTGGCGCTGCTAATGTAGTTGGTGCTGGTGCTGGGGGTGCTAGGGCCATGAGGTGGAACAACAACACCTCTGGTTTTGTTCTTAGAAGGATGGCTCAGCTTGTTAGTGATGGTAGTAGTCCTGATAAGGTCTTCAAGGACAAAGATGTTAACCATATGGCCAAGACACTTAAGGAGTATAGTGGGGAGACAATGAGCTCAACTCACGTGTACAACCATCTGAGGAAGTGGAGGCTAAAGTGGTCTAGGGTCTGTAAGCTAAAAAACCTTGGTGGGGCACTGTGGGATAGTTACACAAATGCTATCATGCTTGATCAGGAGCACTACCTTGGGCACTACAAGGTAGATCTATGTTTTGTTTCCTCTTTCTTCCATGCACCTATATCTTTCTATTAGTTGCCTAAAAATGTACCCTCCTACTGTAGGACCATCCTAAAGATGCAGAATTTCTAAACTACCCTATAAGGTTTTACACAGAGATGGAGTCTATCTTTGGCCATGCTATGGCCATTGGTAGGTTTGCACTTGGATCTGGTGAAGCCCTAGGGGTGAACCAGGCTAATAGTGTTGCTGCTAAGGCTGAGGGTCCTGCCTTCGCTAATGTGGCTACTGACAAGACCGAAACTGAGGTTGGAGAAGGCAGCAAGGCCACAGAACTGTTCTCCTCAATTGTGGGTGGAAAGAGGAACAGAGGCAACTTTAGTGAGGATGGGATACTTATGTTGACCAACATGTCTGATGCTATCAACAATGTTGCCAATGCTCTTTTAGGAGACTGGACCAGCCCATGTTGATGCTAACCTGTAGTTTGCTGTGATGGAGATGCCTGACTTTAGTGAGGAGGCACTGATAGTTGCCTACACCTATCTACTGGACAACAAGGCCCAAGGCAGGGAGCTTTGCGAATATGAGTGACGGCCATAGGACCCTTTGGCTTAGGACCTTCCTAGCCAAGAACTACTACATGTAGTTGCACTACATGTTGATCTGCATGGCCAATGAAGGGGTTGACTGTTGAGATGTATAGTTCCTCCACCTCTCTCATCCACTTTCTCACCTTTTGTTTAGACTTAGGTCTAATTAACTTTTGTGCAGGATAGTTGGCTTCTTTTGGGTTGGTTAAGTAGGAGGGTGGCTAACTTTATAGGTGACCATGGGAAAGATGGAACTCATTTGAGCCTACTGATGTTGGGCAAAACTGCTACTTGTAAGAAACCTTGTGTAGCCTCTGTTGGCTACTTTTATTTATTGGGGGCCTCTGTTGGCTGCTTGGTTTGCTGCCATTGATGTTTTCATGCTCTAATCTTTCATTTACTGGCTTCTTTTAGGCTATTAGAGATTTCAATGCATCAGTTGGAGCACTAACGACACCCCCTAAGTTGTTTGAACCTGATACTTGTGCCAACATCCCTCCTGTTGATGGTAAGAATGGTTCTTGGAAGAATATGACCATTGTCAGTCTTTTTAATTGTGGTATTTGGACTTTGGTTGAGGCTGTCTATGTCGAACAAGTGTAATTGAAGTGCTTTGGCCGATGATGACACAATTACATGCCTCATTAGCTGGCTCCATGTCTTATGGTTTTCTATAATCCATTTCTGAAACTTGTGCCTATCTATATTTGCTTTCGAAACTAGAGATGATAGCTGTTGTTCTTCGTTGTAATTTTTGTTTTGCTTCTAACTTGGAGCCAGCTATGATTGGAAAGGATGGATTATTGCTATGTCTGAGGCCTATTAGTACAATAACAATGTATTTTGAACTTATGTTATTGTAATGGAACTGCATGTATAATTCATTTGCAATTGTGTTCATTCCTGTGATCTACTTGCTATCTGCTTCCTCTCTATGGGCCTGGCCGAGTATACGCAACACCAAACACCATCTCAAATTGGCAGTTGGGGTTAGTTGGTCCTCAGCGGGGCTACAAACTGGGAACCAAACATATTCTACATTGGGCCTGGTCGATTTGGTACTGCGAAACCAAACAAGGGATGTTGCACCCATTGAGACGGCCCTTGGTTGGCCTCGGACAGGCCTCTGGGCCGAGCCGGCCACAGCCAGCTTACCAAACACGCCCTTTGGCTCTCTGACCACCGACTCCAATCACCGGTACGCGGTGCTGTTTAATATATGAGGTACAATATATTATTAGAGACATACAGAGGTAGAGAACATATATAGTATTCTAATAATGTTGTATCTCTAGATTAAGAGAAAGATTAATGCCATACCAATCATTGCCATGCTTCCATGATTACCCACAAATAATCCCTCCACAAAAATAGAAGCCAATAATGTCGACCAAAGATATGATTTGGAGATATCAATCGAAACAATTGCTGCCATTAACCACCTAGAAGAATTGCTACCAAATTAAATGATATTTTGGCTATTCTATATATATAGTTTTTGCTACGTATTTAGATGTACAGTATGTCCACATACATAACTAAAACAACGTGTTAAAAAACCAAAGTATCTTATAATAGGGACTACAATCAATTCAAATATATGGTTTTGAGATATCGATCAAAATAAAACCAGGTCTGATTTAGCGGCTGCCTAAAAACTAGACCTAATTTGATTTGGCTACTACATGTCATTTATACTTCTATATATAAGTGACTAAGTTGTAGGCAGTGGTGGCACAACAAATCGTACCTATACTAGCTAGGTCATAGAACTAATATAAGACGACTCCCCATATATCTTATTGTCGTCATCATGTCGCGTGTCAAGATAGATACTACTATGGTTTTGTTCATAGCAGTACTTGTTGCTACGGCTACAATTTTTCTCAACATGTAATGCAGATGGTAAGTCGTTATATGCAACTAGGCGCCAAGCCGGAATACTTGTTCCTATGTATAATTTTTTATTACACGTTTCTAAATGTGTGTTTTGAACTGATTTTTATGTTCAAACTTGAACATATATTCCTTTCTTTTTGTGCATGTTTTGTTTTTGTTGATATTTGAGGGTTTTTACACCAAATTCGAAGTGCATACATCATATATATGTTTGCATTATTAATCGATTTGTTGTTGCTCTATTACATGGCGCCTACTTATCAGGTGGAGATGGAGGATGCTTCCCCTTTTTGAGTCGCGCTTATGGAATATCTTGGTGCAAGGATGAATGCAGAAGGACAAAGCCAGGGAACATACCCAGTTGCAAAGTCGCCCCTGGCGTAGGTGGTATAAGACTGTCGGTGATCCATATGGACACTCAAACTCAAAATAAGTAGCAGGAGGCCTAAAATCAGTCTTCAACAGAGTACCTATGTGTAAGACCTATTTTGGGTTGTCTGAGAGGCACAACCTAAATATGAGTAAACCCATTTGCAGAAAGGATTCTCTTTTGGGTTCTGTTATTGGAGAGGATGTCGAATGTGTATTGAACCCTTTGACTGTAGCGCTATACAAACGTTGAATGATACTGTATGGCCCCGTTCGCTTGTCTTAAATTTGGTTTGTTCGGCTTGTTTTTTCAGCCGGAACATTATTTTTCTCTCACAACAATTCAGCCGGAATAGTATTTTTCAGCCAATTTCAGCCAAAGTTTAGACCAGCTGAACGGGGCTCCTATTTTAGGTGTTGTGGTTGAAGATAGCGTAAGTGTCAACTATTGCTGCTGCACTGGCCCGTGATTAATGCAAATATTCTCATGTGTGCACAGTTCTTGATGTACTATGTAATAACTAGGAAGATAGACGCGCTAGCGCCGTGCCATTTTATTTCTGTTTTTATATATATGCCATGGATGTTTCAGGTTTAGGGATCTCGAAGTGACCGTGTCCGTTGGATCGTGGTGGTCTTCCTTAAATAGATCTAGATTGTTGGTTTTGATGTGTTTTTTTTTTTTGCAAAATCCTGTTTAGATGGAGGAAATATCATCTCAGTTGGGGAAAAAATCTGGGTAGACTAAGTGAAATTTGAACTGTTTTTTTTACAACAGTTCGAACTGTTCCGTGTAGTAGGGATACAAATTGTTTAAAAAAAATACAATCAGTTTCGAAAGTCTGCACTCTGCAAGCAAGCAATACAAGACCTTGTTTAAATCACCTCTAAATTTTAAGTTTTTTATTTTCTTTTCGTCACATTAATTTTTGGACATATATATGGAGCATTAAATGTAGGTAAAAAAAATAACTAATTACACAGTTTGGTTGTAAATCACGAGATAGATCTTTTGAGCCTAGTTAGTCTATGATCGGACAAAGTTTATTAAATACAAACAAAACGTGCTACAGTGTACAGGTTGTAAAAATTTACAATCTAAAACAGACCCAAATACAAATTACAAACAGTGGCATTGCTTGCCTGCCTGCCCGCCTGCCGCCGCCGCCGCCGCTTCTTGTCCACCGCCTGCTTCTTTCTTCCAGCACGCGCCGCTCTGCACCTCGGGCAAGTGCGCAAAATCTCGCGGAGCCCCACTCCCAAATCCAGTGCCCATGGGTCGGCGGAAGCGGCCCCGCAATGTGCAGCCGCCGGCGGAGCGAGTCGATCGAGAGCCTGTAGGCGGAGAAGTCGACGACGACTCCACGACGATGAGCCCACCAAAGGCGGAGATTTCGGCGGCCGGCGAGTGCGAGGAGGTGTCGGAGGTCGACGAGGAGGGTATCGGTAGACTACTGGAGCCGTTCACCAGGGACGAGCTCCTGGACCTCCTGACCGACGCCTGCCTCCGTGACCCTGCCCTCCTCGCTCGCGTCGACGCCTCTGCCGCCTGCGACGCCGCGCATCGCCGCCTATTCGTGCACGGCATCGGCCCCGGCGCCACCTCTGCGGCGCTGGCTGCCGCATTCGTCCCCTTCGGCGCCCTCGACGAGTGCCACGCCGTTGCCGACCGCGCCACCGGCCGTTGCCGGGGTTACGGCTTCGTCACCTTCCGCCGCCGCTCCGACGCGCGCCGCGCGCTCGCCGATTCTTCTAAGTGCGTGGACGGCCGGCCCATCGCCTGCCAACTCGCCTCCCTCGGCCCCGTTGCCCCGGCCTCCTCGTTCTCCGACCGCAAGCTGTTCGTGGACAACGTGCCCGAGCGCGCTGGGCGTGACGACCTGAGGGAGTACTTCTCCAAGTTTGGTGAGATTGAGGAGGGACCCCTCGGCTCTGACTGCGCCACCGGGCTGTTTCGGGGCTACGCCATCTTCGTCTACAAGACGCCTGAGGGCCTCAGGAAGGCACTCGAGGAGCCCACCAAGGTGTTCGACGGGTGCGAGCTCCATTGCCGGCTCGCGCACAGGGTGCGGAAGAGGAAGCAAGCCCCTGCCGCACCCGCGGAAAATGGTGACCAGAGCAATGGAGCACCTGTTACCGTGCCCACTGTCCAGTCCGAGGACACTGCATTGACACCCAAGCTGCCACTTCTTTGCTCGAACCCGCAGATTCGGCGGACGACGAAGGGGAGTAGCTCAGCCACAGCCACTGTTGCCTTTCGTCGGAATGCCGCGGCGGCAGGTGGCGTTGGTATTCTTGGTGCGGGTCCTGTGGCCACTGCTGTTCCCTCTTTGCCGGTTCAGAGCACGACAAGCACGCCTCCAGGTGAAGGTGTATTGGGGCCTGGTGCATTGGGTGACACTGCTAGAGCTGGTGCTTCGTCCATGGTTCCTACAACAATTGGGGCCAACAATTCACCATCATATCTCTTCAGGTTCAGGGACCAGGAGCCCTGAAGGATAGCGGTTTGTCCTCCATGGGCCTTTCCACTTTGGCATCCCGAACTGATCAGTGGTCAGCTAGACCAGGCTTGATCCAGCATTACCTGGGAAGATAGGTAAAAATAACGTGGCATTTTGGTAGGCAAGGATTGGAATGGAACATGACACACAGTGAGTCAAGCAGGGACTCGATGCTAGTACTTTCTTACTGATGAAGCAAGGAACTGCAACCTTGGTTATTTCAGTGCATCTCAAGATTTTTCAATCAGCATCCAGTGATTCTTATCACAGGAGAAGCGATTGCAAATCTGTGACTGTGATATCTAGGCACTAGGGAAATGCAATTTTGTAAGTAGTTTAGTTTGCAGAGGCACTTTAAACACTGGAGTTCAGGGAGAACTGATCGGAGCGTCCGGTCAACATGACCGGAGCGTCCAGTCACCCCATAGAGGCACATAACGGTTCATTTTTCAGCCAGTGTTATAAATATCACCTTCACTCGTGTGTGGGGGTACTTTTGCTCATTTCAACAGCTAAGAAACACCTTAGAGAGTGCCAAAAAGAGTAAGGTCCTAGTGAGATGATTGAGATTTGAGAATCCCAAAGAGAGCCCTTATTAGAAAGATCAATAGTAGTCAAGTGTGCATCCACCCTTCTTATTAGGCTTGTCGTGGTCAAGTGAGAGTCCATACTTGTTACTCTTGGTAATCGCCATCACCTAGACGGCTTGGTGGTGATTGCGAGCTTGGTGATCATCCGGAGAGCTTGTGGATGACCCAACTCAAGTTGTGAGCGGTTGTGGGTGATTCACCGCGATGGAGTGTCAAAGAATCAACCCGTAGAGAGCACTTGATCCTTGCGTGGATCAAGGGGAAGCTACACCCTTGCATGTGTGCTCCAACGAGGACTAGTGGGGAGTGGCGACTCTCCTCCGATACCTCGGCAAAACATCGCCACGTTCCTCCTTCTCTCTTTACTTTGAGCATTTACTTTGAGCAATTTAATTCTTGTCATTTACATTCCTAGAATTGCCATGCTAGAGTAGGATTGGAACTTAGGTTGCAAGTCTTTTGTGCGGTAGAACAATTAGAAACACTTTCTAGGCACAAGGGGTTAATTGTGCTAACCGTAGGATTTAATTATTGTAAAGAAATTTAGAATTAGCCCAAATTACCCCCCTCTTAGGCATCTTGATCCTTTCAATTGGTATCAGAGCCTCATGCTCACGTATTTAGGCTTAACCGCCTAGAGAAAGATGTCTCACGGGGATGGACCTCCTCCTATCTTTGAGGGGGATGATTTTTCATATTGAAAAATCCGTATGGAGGCGTACTTAGAAGCTCTAGATGTTGGAATACTTAGAGCCGCCTCACAAGGTTTCCCAAAACCTCGGGATGCCGCACACCCACAAGGCGATGAGTTGAATTACGAAAAATAGAATGCAAAGGCTAGAAACACCATATTTAGAGGCCTTTGTAAAGATGTGTTCAACCAGGTGAGGAACCACAAAGACGCCCATGCACTATGGTCAGACGTTTGTGCGCTCCATGAGGGAACAAAGAGTGAGCATGAGGAACGCTATCATCTTGTCATGAAAAAGCTCATTGAAATGCTTCCTAAAGAATGTACTAATGAAATATATTCACGTTTGAATGTTCTTGTAGAGGAAGTCAATGGGCTTGGACTTATTCAAATGCAACCATCCGATGTTGTAAGAAAGATATTGAGTGTCCTCACCATTGACAAATATGGGCATATTGTGACCGTGCTACATCAAGGTGATCTTTCCACCGCTACACCGACATAAATCTTGGAAAAGATCAATGCTCATGAGATGTATATGCACATCACGTCACAAGATGGCTCATCCTCTACCAAGAAGAAAGATAAGGACTTAGCATTCAAAGCTAGCCAAGAGAAGGGTAAAGCAAGACTTGAGTATGAGAGTTCAAGTGATGATGAATTTGATGATGCAAGTCTTGCTCTCATGGTGAAGAAAACCGCCAAGATGCTAAAGAAGCTCAACAAGAGTGGCATCAAGTTCGATGGCAAGAAGAAGAAGTTCTTCACAACCTCTAGAAGGAAGCCAATCTTTGAGATGGATTGCTACATTTGTGGAGAACTTGGTCATCTAGCTCACCAATGTACAAAGCCCAAGAAAGACAAGTTCAAGAACAAGAACAAGGGCAAGAAAGATGACTCAAGTGATGAAGATGAGAAGAAGAAAGACAAGCCATACAAGAAGAGAGATGTCAAGAAGAAAGACTTCCACAAGAAGAAGAAGAGTGGAAAGGCATTCATCGTCGGCTGATTGGCTCACGAACATTGATTCATCTAGTGGCTCATCCGATGATGATAGTGACAATGAGAAGGTGGCCGCCATTGTTATTGACTCTTCATCATCTTCACCGCCACCACCGCCATTATCCTCTACACACCTATGCCTTATGGCCAAGGGTGAACGCAAGGTATCAAATGATGATGATAGCAGTGGTGATGAACATGCTAGTAATGATGATAGCGATAGTGATGATGATGAATATGAATCACCTTCTTATGATGATCTTGCTAGATTGCTAAAATAATACACTAAGATCATTATAAAGACTAGAGCTAAGAATGAAAAGCTAGAGGCTAAAAATGATGCACTTTTAGCAAAATGTGATATAGCGGAAAAGGCTAGTGTTGAGCTTAGAGAAGCAAATGATGCTATGTCATCCAAACTCAAGGAGCTCAAATCTTCTAAGAAAGAGCTTAAAGATGAACATGATAAATTTGAGTGGGTGCACAAAGAGCTCATCACTAGCCACAACAAGCTAAAAGAAGAATATACTACTCTTAAGATTAATCATGATAATCTTGTCATTGCTCAAGAATTTTTATCCAATGAGCCACATGATGCTACTAACGATGTTGTTAAGATTGATATAGGTACATCATGTGTTGATTTGATCATTGAGTGCATTGAGCAAAGTTCTAGTAGCAAGGGCAAGCAAGTGGTTGGGGCCGATGATTATGATGAGTTTGTCAAGCTCAAGAATGACAATGCAAAGCTCAAGAAAGATCTTGAAGAGATCAAAAGCCACAACACTATTGTGCTAGAAACTCTTGATTATGATGGTGATTTGATTCTTGAGAATGAGAAGCTAAAAGAAGAAAACAAGAAGCTCAAGGAAGAGAAGAACAATGATGCTCTTAAGGAAGAAAACAAGAAGCTTAAGTTAGAGAAAGAGCATCTCAAGATTGGATTGAGCAAGTTCACAAGAGGCAATCATCTTCAAAGTGAGCTACTTATGAACACCATCATGAAGATGGATAGAAGTGGCATTGGATACATGGCAAACAAAGGAAAGAAGACTCAAGCTCAACATCAACAAAAGCCAAAACCAAAGAAGTGTTTTGAGTGTGGACAAGAAGGCCACTTTTCTCATGAATGCCAAACTCCACCACCACAACCCTTGCCCAAGTATGCTAGACCTTTTGCCTTCAATGCTCACTACATGCTTAGAAGGGATTCTAGTGAAAAAATGAAAGTCATGTTCTTAGGACCTCCCAACAAGAATAGACCTAAGAAAATTTGGGTTGCAAAATCACTTGTTGAGAAGGTAAAGGGCCCTCAACAAGTTTGGGTTCCTAAAACTTGATCTCTTGTGTATAGGTGAACTACAAGACCGGTGAAAGTCATTGGGTTATTGATAGTGGTTGCACACAACATATGACCGCTGATCCTCGTATGTTCACCTCACTAGATGAAGAAGTAGATGGACAAGAAAAAATCATATTTGGAGATAACTCAAAGGGCAAGGTTAAAGGATTGGGCAAAGTGGCAACATCAAATGATTATTCTATCTCAAATGTGCTATATGTTGCTTCATTAAGTTTCAACTTGCTATCCGTTGGACAATTGTGTGATTTTGGCTTCCAATGCTTGTTTACCGAGAAGGAAGTTATTGTATCTAAGAAGGATGATGATCAAGTGATATTCAAAGGATTTAGATACAACAATCTATATCTAGTGGACTTCACCTCCAAAGATGTAAACTTGAAGACTTACCTATTCACCAAAACAACACTTGGGTGGCTATGGCATAGAAGACTTGCTCATGTTGGGATGAGCTCACTCAAGAAGCTAATGAAGAATGGTTTGGTGAGAGGGTTGAAGGATATGAAGTTTGAGAAGGACAAGTTTTGTAGAGAATGTCAAGCCGGCAAGCAAGATGCAAATACTCATCCAACCAAAGCTTTCATGTCAACCACAAGAGTGCTAGAACTCCTTCACATGGATTTATTTGGACCAACAACACACAAGAGATTGGGAGAAAATCTTTATTGTCTTGTGATTGTTAATGACTATTCAAGGTATACATGGGTGTTCTTCCTTCATGACAAATCCGAAGTTGCATCTTGCTTCAAGAAGTTTGCCAAGAGAGCTCAAAATGAATTTGAAGTGAAGCTCAAGAAGATTAGAAGTGACAATTGGAAGGAATTTGACAACACCAACATTGAAGCCTATTGTGATGAAGTTGGAATCAAACATGAGGTCTTCGCAACATATACTCCTCAATAAAATAGTGTAGTTGAGAGGAAGAACCAGACATTGATCACTCTTGCAAGAACAATGCTTGATGAGTACAACACCCTCGAAGCTCTATGGGCGGAAGCTATCAACACCGCATGCTATGCATCCAACCGCCTATTCCTTCAAAAGTTCCTTGGCAAGACACCTTATGAGTTGCTCAATGGAAAGAAGCCGGACGTCTCCTTCTTTAGAGTGTTTGGTTGCAAATGCTACATCTACAAGAAATGGCAACACCTAGGGAAGTTTCAAAGACGTTGTGATATTGGTTTTCTTGTTGGTTACTCATCAAAGTCCAAAGCATATAGAGTATTTAATCATGCCACCGACTTGGTTGAAGAAACATATGATGTGGAATTTGATGAATCTAATGGCTCCCAAGGAGCACATGAGAATCTTGATGATGTAGGTGATGAACCATTGAGGGAGGCCATGAAGA